AAGGTGGAATCTCAATGTTGTTTTGATTTGCATTTCTTTTATAGCTAGAGAAGTTTAGCATTTCTTCATATGTCTATTGGCCATATTTATTTCCTTGAGAGAAGTCTCTAAGTCTTTAGCACACTTATTAATGGTTGTTTCTTTGAGGATTTGTTGTTGGGGGATTTAATTTTTTGAGTTCCAAGTATATTTTAGATATGAGACCCTTGTCCATTGTATGGCTAGTGAAGATCTCCCAATCCGTGGTCTTTCTATTGATCTTGATAGCTATGTCCTTTGCCATGCAGAAGCTCTGCAATTTCATGCAATCCTATTTGTCCCACCTTTCTTTGATTTGTTGTGTTTCTGGGTCTTCATTAAGAAAATTTCGGCCTGTGCCAAGGAGCCCTAGAATTTCTCCTATGCCCTCCTGTAATGTTTTTAGGGTGTCTGCTTTTACTTCGAGGTCTTTGATCCATTTGGAGTTGATTCTGGTGATTTAGCTTTAGTTTTCTACAAGTGTTTAAGCAACCTTGCCAGCACTATTTACTGAAAAGGCTGTCTTTCTTCTATTCTATTTTTTTAGCTCCCTTATCAAAGATTAGGTGGCTATAGACACAGTCATATTTTTGAAGTAGCCTTGGCAGTTGGGATATTCTCCTTTCTTTCCTTTGTGAGAACAGCTCCTTCTGGCTTTTTTTTTTTAAGTTTCTTTTTTTGGTCCGGTCATGGGCCTGAACTCTGGGCCTGGGCGCTATCCCTTAGCTCTTCAGCTCAAAGCTAGCGCTCTACCACTTGAGCCACAGCGTCACTTCAGGTTTTTTTCTTTTTGCTTATGTGGTGCTGAGGAATCGAACCCAGGGCCTCATGCATGCAAGGCAAGCACTCTACCACTGAGCCACCTTCCCAGCCCTCCTTCTGGCTTTTTTTGCAGGTTTTTTTTTTAATCATTCTTTTATGTTGAGACATTTATCAGCCTGTAGCCTTTGCAGGCTGTGCAGATGGTAGATTTTGTTTTTCTTTGGGGAATATTGTAATTCTAGTAATTGGAGGAGTCATCTTTCCTGATCTTAAAATGGGTTAGGGCTGGGGACCTAAGGAAAGGCTCTGTTTAGCTGCTTCTGCATCTTTTCATAGGCTCCAAGGAAATATTGTTAGGACCTAGACTGGTTTGTTTTTGAAAGGCTTGACCTCAGGTGTTGAGTGGATATAAATGTCCTGTACTTTTCACCATGTCTAGTTGTTATCATGCACGATGTTTTAACAATTAAGAAATTAGACACTTAATTTTGCTTGTGCAAATTTGTATGAGGGGTAAATGGAACCCAGTACATTGGTTACTAAAGAATGAGCTTCACTCCATTTAATAAAGAAGGCTTTGATTAAAGAAGCCTTAGATTAAAGAGTAAGTGAAACCGCTTTGAAAAGTAGTCAGACATCTGGAGAAAATAGAAGCTACTGAAGAGACTACATGCTCAGTTTAATTTAATCATACTGGCTCTTCCTTCAGTGGGAAAAAAATAAAATTAAGTAATTCTTATTTGATCACTTTTCTGATGTTTTGAATGGAGCTTTTGAAAGTATGGTTTAGTAATAGAATTGTGTAACATATCATCAAGAGACAAAGCCATTAGTACTTTTAAAATATAAGCTATTGGGATTAAGTTGGCTTTAAAGAGAGTAAATGAGTTTATGAATCTGAGCCCGAATTCAGGTCTTTGAAGTGAAAAGTTAACATAGGATGAATTAGATCTGAAATTTATCATACAACTTTTTTATAACTCAGATTGTTATCCTGTATCCTAATAGAATTTTGATATCAGTGCTAAAATAATTTTCATTTGTTTTGAAAGAACAACCCATATAGCTGACATTGTAGAATGGGAGTAACATAAATTGCTTTCTTAACAAATAATGTGCCAGCAGAGGGAGCCCAAGAACTGTTCAAAAAGAGAAACTTGTCCATTTATACAGAACCTGTGTTGAGTACAAACTTAATGTAAAGTACAAAAAAAAAAAAAAGGATCAAGAAGTGTACGCTTAATCAAATTGGATTTTAATTGTGGCCTAAGAAAAACTGAAAATGTCTTACGTATGTATGCTTATATATAGGAGGTGGAAATTCCTCACACACACATACTTCTCTTGACAGTCAACTAATTGTAAGAGTAGCTCATGCCTCTCACAACCCAACAACACACTCAACCCTGTGGCTCTCTCCATCTATTCCAATAACAAATGCTTCTATCACCATCACTTTGGATTATTTCTGCTGGCTTGGACTTTTTCCATCTAAAAAGTCCCTCCTGACAGTTTTACAAAAACAAAACCTTAAAAGCTGTATTAGGCTCGCTTGTTGGGAAGGCACACCAGCTGGTTGTGGCAGACTCTTCTCCGTCTGCTGTGCTGAGGACCAGTGGGGACACTCTTAATTTGGAAGCAATGGCACTGTGGCTGTATTGCATCCCACCAGATGGCGATGTTTTTTATCTATGATTACAAAAAAAAGCGCCAGTGTTGGCTCAGCTTATATTTGCTTCTACTCATACCCAGAAACCAACATCTACCACTTTTTGGCAGTAGATTTAAGAGACTAAAAACCACTCTTCCAACTATCCATAAAAATGGGCACTAGCCAACCTTTTTTTTCCCTTTGTAAGCTAGGAAGCTCTTGGGCTCCCTCTACTGATACTGGATAAACAAGTAGGTTCATTAACAAATACGGTCTCCCACCACATTTTAGTGTCTTGATAATTAGAATAAACAATAAAAAAAAAAGACAACCTGAAGGACTTGCTCCAAGGTGTTAGCTGGCTTGGGTTGCCTAACACTGAAGACCCTAGAAAGGAGATGTGTGAAAGGGCCTAGTTCTGCTTTAAGATGTGTAGGTAGATTAAAAAAAAATAATACACATATGCTTTTGTTTCCTCTGGGAAAATGAACATGAGAAGCAGTAGGTAAAATCAATCTGAAAAGATCAGATATTAATGAATCTATGTCTTCTTGTCATCCTGACTATCCATTAACATCCAGATTTAAACTATAGTGTAAAACTTTGAGTTTTAAAAAACCTTGAATTCAAGCTGTGATCCTGTGGCTCATGTCTGTAATCCTAGCTACTCAAGAGGCTGAGATTTGAGAATTACAGTTCAAAGCCAGCCTGGGTAGGAAAGTCTGTGAGACTCTTATCTTTGAAAAAGCAAGAAGTAGAGCTGTGGCTCAACTGGTAGAGTTCTGGCCTTGGGTAAAAAGCCCAGGGACAGTGTCCAAGCCCTGAGTTCAAGCTGCAAAATTCTCTCTCTCTCTCTCTCTCATATGTATATATGTATATCAGTGGACTACAAATTGGAATTTTCATTTTGCTCGAAAAAATAGAGTAATAACCCTTTGTGGAAATCTTCTGTATCAAACTTAGTATCATCCTATGTACAACTTCTTAGTTAAGGTAAGACTGCTTTAGTTTATGGTTCAGATTAGAAACAGTGAGTCTCCATTTTAGGTAAAAGAACCCTAGTGTCACAGCCATGGAAGATAATTTCAGGCTGAATTTTGGTCAGTCTGTTTAGAGGTAGTGAACCATGTCACTAAGGTTTTTAAAAAATATGATGTTACAGTTTCGTGGATGGCAAGTTTTATGACTTCATCAGTGAATATGAGTCTAATAAGGAATAGAGCTGTGGTGTTTACATGCTAGCCACATAACAAGACATAAGAGATGCTAGCTACACAGCAAGATGTAAGAGAATGTGCTTAGGTTTGCTTGGGCAGGAAAGGTAGAGAGCAAGACTGAAGTTAGCCTAAGGAGTGAATAGCAGGAGAAAGAGAGGAAAGGGTATCAAGTAGGTCAAAGAGGTGCCAGTTGTAGAGACCTGGGGATATGTATGTGGGGTAAGATCCAGAAGAGGCTATCTTCACCGTAAGAGCAGACAGGCTTGACTCTGATGTCAGAGGACCTCTCAGCATTAAGTTCGATGATACATTCAGATAGGTACTTGGGCATAAATATAAGACCCTATCTCAAAAACAAAAAAGCAAAAAGACTATAGCCATGTCTCAAAAATAATAAAAGATGTATTGTATTTTAGAAATGAGCTATATTCTCTGGAGAATATAGCTGAAATTATTTAACGGTCAGAACTCATCTATAGTTTTCTATTTTATGTTATGTATATATTGATTATCTGTAATTATCAGTAGATCATTTTTGTACTTTAGTGGTTGGTTCAGCTTATATGTGGTGATAAAAGCCACTAAAAAAAAATCCTTATTAGCTGGGCACCGGTGGCTCATTCCTGTAATCCTAGCTATTCTGGAGGCTGAGATCTGAGGATATGGTTCAAAGCTAGCCTGGGTGGGAAAGTCCATGAGACTCTTATCTCCAATTAGCCACCAGAAAACCAAAGTGGTGCTGTGACTCCAGTGGTAGAGTGCATCCTGTGGGCTGAAGAGCTCAAGGACAGCACCTAGGCCCAGAGTTCAAGCCCATGACCAACCAAAAAAAAAATCCTTATGTTGTGCAATTGTGAATCTGTTAATAGGGAATAGGGATAGTAAAGTTGAAATTCCTATTTTCTTTCACTTTTCTTTAGTGTGTGTGTGTGTGTGTGTGTGTGTGTGTGTGTGAGAGAGAGAGAGAGAGAGAGAGAGAGAGAGAGAGAGAGAGAGAGAGGAGAGACTTTCTACACTCCTCAAATGGCAATTACCATTCTGTACATTTTTAGGAATCATAACATTGAATCTTTCATTAGAGTTCTATGTCATTTTTGTGGCCTTCTTCACTCTGCCCATTTCTCTTGGTTGAAAACAAAAGGCTGAGTAGAACTAATGAAGAAAATATATTCTTAGAGAATGGAATATTAATGTTAGCAAGTATATGAAACTTTATCCTGTAAATGTAGATTATCTTATTGTAAACATTTTGTGAAAAAACTTACAAATTTTACATCAATTGTTTTAACTAGTGAAAATATGTTTAATTGTCTGGATTCCTAACTTGGAATGTTTTGTGTTAATGTTCACAGAAGTAGAAGAGTATCAGCAGACAGAAAATTCACCTGCATTTGAATCTGGTCATCTCATGGTGGGACAGCATCAAGTCCTTCGGAGCAGCAGCACGTCTGACATTACTGAGCCACTGTGCTCAGATTCTTCTCAGGGTACACAATGTCTTCAGTTATTAATACAGAAGCATAGAGTTTTGTCTAGGAGCAGGATGAAGTGCAAGTAGTATTCCTTTCTACATTTATTCTAAATCTGTTCACTTTAAGTGAATTTATTTTTAAATTTTATTGCAAGGATCTAATTTCTGGCAATAAAATATTTTCATTACCACAGTGACTAAATTTTACACATATGGATGCTCACACTTAAGGTGAGGACTAAGAAGGGAATTTAGAGTGACCAGAGTAGGTAGGAGAAGAGTGTTTAAGGCTGAAGGGCAGCAAATGAGGTAAGAGAGAGGGAGGGAGAAAGATGTATGAGAAGAGGCCTGGAAGTTGAAAATGAGAGTAGAAAACTAAATTAACTTGTGATAGGTCTATTAGCAGCTTGAAAACTTAACTGAGGTTGAGGTTGAAGATAATAACAAAAAGGTCTTACTACATAGCCCAGGCTGGCCTTAAACCTACAACTCTCCTACCTTAGCCTCTAAAGTGCTAGGATTGCAAGCTTGTGCCACAAGCCTGGCTAAAAACAAAAACTTCCAATAACATTTAAATATATGGTTTCTATTACCATGTATATCAGAAATAAGATGAAAAGCAGAGACAGATGTTTCCATCTATAAACAGTGAATTGTGTATTGAACAATACAAAAGCACATTTAAAGTATGTTTGCTATTAGCCAGGCACTGGTGGCTCACGCCACCTGCCATCCTAGCTACTCAGGAGGCTGAGATCTGAGGATTACAGTTCAAAGCCAGCCCAAGCAGGAAAGTTCCTGAGACTCTTATCTCCAATTATCCACCAGAAAACCAGAAGTGATGCTGTGGCTCAAACACTTACCTTGAGCTGAAGAACTCAGGGATAGTGCCCAGGCCCAGAGTTCAAGCCCCGTGACCAACCAAAAAAAAAAGAAAATACAGTAAAGATATATTTTCTGTAACTGACTGTGAACAATCAATTGTGATAACTCACTACCTTTGGACCAGCCTAAAGATATATTTTCTGAAAGGTTGTTTTTTTTAATTCTCTGAAGGTTTTTGTATAGAATTATTATTAGGAGTTTTGTAAGTATACATCAGAGATGAGACACTTATTACGCATGAGGCTATGAGTCTGAGTCCCAACACTGCAGGGAAGAAATTGATATTGGTTGGTTTATTGGTTGATTATATTATTTTTCAGAATTTGCTAGTATTTTTAAAAAACGTTTTCCTGGAGTTTTCTTATAGGAAGATTTTATAAACATTATTGGAATTTTGACAAAATTTCACTTACCATAAAATGAGCTTGAAGATGTGTTATACAGCCGGGCTCTAGTGGCTCATGCCTGTAATCCTAGCTACTCAGGAGGCTGAGATCTGAGGATCGTGGTTCAAAGCCAGCCTGAGCAGGAAACTCTGTGAGACTCTTATCTCCAGTTAACGACTAGAAAACCGGAAGTGGCTCTGTGGCTTAAGTGGTAGAACGCTTGCCTTGAGCTGAAGAGCCTGGGGACAGCGCCCAGGCCCAGAGTTCAAGCTCCACGACCGACCAAAAAAAAAAAAAATCTGTTATACAATATGGTGGCTTGAAAATTGCTAAGAGAGTAGTTTTGAAATACTGTCATTACAAAAATAAATGGTGAATATATAAGACCTGTATGTATTAATTAGCTTGATTTAGCTATATCACAATGTGTGCATGTGTCCATGGTAAACATGATATAGAGTTTTTTGTTAGTTAAAAACATTAAAAATGTAAAATTATAGGACTATTTAGATTTTCCTTGTTTTGAATTTTGAAAATCAGATTTTTTTTAGAAATTAGTTCATATATTAGTTTTTTTTCAAATTTAGTGGTCCCAAATTATTCGTAAATTCTCTTATGATCTTTTTAGAGCTTATAGGCTTTGTAGTAATACTCTTTTCAGATATTGAAATAATCTCTCTCTCTCTCCATTTGAGAGTTTTTATTTTCAAATAAGATGGAGATATCCTACAGCTAACCCAGGCAGCTCTTGTCACATTCTCCTGGTTCACAAAAGGTGCTATTGACCATAGTGAACAGCATTCAGTAGACTCTATTCCTGCTCTGTGGGCCAGAGGCCAGGTTAATAAGTGAATTAGACCCTAAGGCTGCCAGTTTGCCAGACCCATAACTCCTACTTTATATATATTTAGGATATCTGAAATTTAATTTTTACCTTTAAATACAAATTTTGCTATTTTATCTTCTGAAAATTTTCTGTTTGTCAATGATTTCCTCTCACATCTCTAGGTCAAAAAGTAGAAAATACACAGAATTTGAGTTCTTCAGAACCCAAGTCCACTCAAGAAAATAAAGGACATCTGAGGAGAGAACATGAAGGAGTAACAGTAAGATTTTTAAAACATATCACTTTGACACAAAAAATAAGGATATAAATCATTGTTGAATAAATTAATTTATTGGTGATAGTGATACTTAACTTTTTTCCCAAATGGGGAAAACCCCAGCTAATTGGCTGAATTAGAAGTCCAAATGACCTTGAAGTCATTTAAGCTCTGCTTATTTTCTATGTAAAATGCTATAAAAATAGTGAAAAATTGAGTCTGAAATGGAATTTACTGTCTGTTCTGACTGTGGTGTTCTATATTTTTAAGTAGCTATAATCATTTATGAAACCTGGAATCTGTATTCCTCATTCTTGGCATTTGATGTAGTAGTTCCTAGATAAGTGAATACTCACAAACATCTGTTATGGGTTTCTTTTGTTTAAGGAAAAGGAATTTATTTAAAAAAAACAAATACAAAATGTAAAGATGAAAATTAAACCATAACTCATAGTTCACTCAAGAGATGTCATTGTTTATTTATTTTTAGTGTGACACATATATGTTTATATATATACGCACACAGAGGGAGAAAACTATCACAGAAAGGTACAAAATAAAAAGTGAAGGCCTCTTCAACCCCTCTTAGAAGATAACCAATGTGTTAAGTATTCTATTTCTTTTCCTCCTTCTTTTATTTTCTTTTGGTCCCCATAGGTTTGAACTCAGGGCTTGGGCACTGTCCTTAAGCTTTTGTGATCTACCACTTGAGCCATAGCTCCACTTCTGGCCTTTATTTATTTATTGGATAGTTAATTGGAGATAAGAGTCTCACAGGCTTCAAACCACAGTCCCTTGTGTAGCTAGGATTATAGGTATGAGCCACTGGTGCTTGGCAAGTGTCTTGTTTCCTTAGGTTTAAATAGGGCATATACCCACTTACCTATGTATATACTGTATTTCAAAAATTAAGTAAATACCCACAAAACCATTACCTAGTTTAAGAATCAGAGCATTTCTGCTGTATACTGGTGGCTCACTCCTGTAATCCTAGCTACTCATGAGGCTGAGATCTGAGGATCACAGTTCAAAGCCAGTCTGGACAAGAAAGTTCGTGAGACTCATCTCCAATTAACCACCAGAAAACCGGAAGTGGCACTGTGGCCCAAGTGGTAGAGTGCTTACCTGGAGCTGAAGAGCTCAGGGATCGTGCCCAGGCCCAGACAACCACAACCACAACCAACTCCTCTCTCCCATAAAAAAAGAAGAAGAAGAAGAAGAAAGAAAGGAAAGAATTAGAGCATTTCTTGTGCTGTTGCTTTAGACTCTTAGATTCCTTTTTTGTTCTCTCCTACTGTCATTTTGAAAGAGTGATACAGCCTTGGCTTTGTGCAGTCTCTTCTTTTGCTCTACAGTTTTGCTGTGGATCTATCTCCAAACAATATATTCTTCAATTTTTCTTTATGTTTGAGCTTTTCAATAAAATGTTATATAGTGGTACTCTTGCTTTGTTCAGTTATATTTTTCTTTTTCTTTTTTCTTTTTTTTTTGTTGATCATGGGGCTTGAACTCAGGGCCTGGATACTGTCCCTAAGCTCTTTCACTCACGACTTGTGCTCTACCACTTTGAGCCACAGCTCTACTTCTGTTTTTTTGGCTGTTAATTGGAAATAGGAGTCTCATGAACTTTCCTGCCTGGGCTAGCTTTGAACCCCTATCCTCCTGAGTAGCTAGGATTGCGGGTATGAGCCACCAGCATCTGGCTTCAGTTATATAAATCTAAGATTTACCCATATTGTTGTCTGTAGCACTGATGATCAAGTTTTCTATGATATATGATAGATATTCTACTGTAGATATACCACCAGTCATTTTCCATTATTTGTTAATAGACATTTAGATTGTTTTCAGAGAGCTTTTCATTTTTATGAAACCTGCAGCTATGTACATTCCTGTATGTATCTGTATGTATCAACATCTACATGTTTAAGGTTTTCTCTTGATGACATCTAGGAGTAGAATTAATAAATTATTCAAAAACTGAATAGTCTTCTTTATAAATAATACCTATTTTCCAAAGTGGTTGCATCATTTAGATTTCTGCTGTTGGTGTATAAAGTTCTCATTCATCTATGTTCTTGCTAATACTTCTTTTTAGATTTAAAAATGTTTATGTTTCAAAGTTTGAAAATAAGATCACTTATTTGCGTTTCCCAGATTGTAAGGTTTAAACTCTCTTCAGATTGTCAATTTGTATTTCATCTGTGAAGTGCCTGTTAAAGTCTTTTTGTCATTTCCCTATTGGTTTGTCTTTTTCTCTTTTATTTATACTATGTAGTGTGAATACCGTTCCCCTTTTGGTTATGTATATAACAAGTATTTTCTTCCACTGTGTGTCTGTTTTCACTCTGTGATGTCCTTTGATGAAGAGAAATTCTTCATTTTGATATTATCATTTTGTATGATTAGGGTTGTGTGGACTATTTTAAGTTCTCAACTACATAGGGGAAAAGTATTACTCTATATTCTATAAGTGTTCCAATTTTGCACATTGAAGTCTTTCATGTACTTGGAATTGATCCTGTTTGTGGAGATTGGCCACAAACCTAAATTCTCTTAACTATGCCTCCCAGATAACTGGGATTACTGGCATGAGCCACTGCACCTAGCCATGCTTCAACATCTTACTTCAGATCTCAGCCTCCTGAGTAGGATCACAAGTGTGTAGGCACCCAGCCTCATACTTCTTTATCCCTTCTCTTCCCCTTCTACTGGGAGCTAGTCTTTTTTGTTTTATTTCTTTTGTCTTTCATCATGATATTGAGGTATCTTCTGTCTATCCTCTCTAATCCTTGTTTCTTGTGTTCTTTGTCCTTGAATTTTTAGAGTCACTCTACCATGTTTAGGTACAGGCTTACTTCTTTGATTTACCCATTTGTCTTGGGGTGAATACTATGTTCTATACATCTGTGGATGCTTATCTTTTTGCATCTTGGGGAAATTCTTAGTAATAATTTCTTCAATTGTTGCAGTTTTTTGTTTCTCTCTCCTGGAATTCTGTATAGAAATATAGTAGATTGTCTCTTTCCCCCTTCTATATCTCTAGCATATATTTGCATTGTGGTTGCATTCTGGATTGGTTCATCAACTCTGCTTCATGTCAGTAAAATAAATCTCTTTTGTTTACTCTTTATGCACCTATTGAGTTATTTTTAGCAAGTGTATTTTTTAATTCCATGTTCAAATGTAATCTTTTCAAGTATGTCTTATAACTCTTCATTGCTTGTTCATTTTTATGATTTCATCTTTTGTTTCTTTATAATATTTATAAAATCTGATTCTAAATTCTCATCCTTTGGAGGTCTAATTTTGATACTGTTTCTGAGACTCTTATATCTGATGATTTATTTTCTTGTATGTTTGGTGAGCTTTGATTATAGCTTCTTAGCTGGCTGATATCAATATACCAAAACCTGGGTATCTAAAGTGATATTGACTCACCAGGACATTTTATTTGTTTCTTCCCTGAGTCAGGGAGTAATATTTTAATCCTGGACCTCAGTCTTTTTTGCCACACTGGCAGTAGTAATACTGGATTTGCCCTTATGATTCCCCACAAGACTACCCTAATTTCTGTTCACTTTCGAAGAAGGAGTTTAGAGTTTGTGGCGATTTGGTTCATGTGAGCCCCAGATTGCAGCAAATGTTTTATGTCTAATTCTATAGTTGGAAGGTATTTTGTCTCATATAATCTGAAACTGAAGAGCCTGCTTTGCAATTTACATACTATCCTGGACACATTCTATTTAATATATATATATATATGTATATATTCTACATATATATTCCTTCTTTAAGGATGTGTAATAACTTTCATATTGTTAGTTTTCTAAATATCTTAGCAATGGCTTGCTTTTTAGCTTGGTAACTATTCTGTCTTTTAATTATACATCCTGTTTCTCCTTTAATTTGTTTCCGTGTTTATAAGTTTACATTCATTTGTAAGGCATGCTAATCCCTTTAATTGGCCTATCGAATCCCAACTGGTTTGTTTGGTTGTTTTGTTTTATATAATCTACAATTGGAGGACATTAAATCTGTATCTTCATTCCTAGCTTTATTCTCTGTCTCACTTTTCATGAAGTTTTGTTTCTCACTTATAGAACATTCTCTTCAGATTTTCAGGCCAAAGATAAAAATTTAAATGCTAGAAATGTTTGTAAGTTCTTCCCGTTCTTTCATCCTTTAAACTTCCCATTTTCATTCCCTCCTTGCACATGTCAGCATCCTTCTCATTATCCTTGAGATTTATAGCCTTTTGTGATTTGATTTTCTTCCATTCCCATATATACCTGCAGAGAAGGCTAGCCTCCATTCTGTAGCACTTCTCTTTTCTTTCCCTTTTCTACCATCAGAAACCTTATCGCCTCATTCCTGAATCGCCATTAACAATTGCACAGCAATTTTCTTCTTCACTCTAATCTATCACACAGATAACTACTGTACCTATCTTTCACATAATTTTAATCACAATTAGCTATTGTGGGGAACATTAGTTGCTCATTTGTCAATATTAGGTCAAAAGTCATAAACCTCATATTGAATGCTCCCTGCAGCTGCCTCTTTTAGAAAGGCTGCATTTCTTCTTATCTTTTCCTTCTTCCCCTGGCTGTCCTGCATGGCCTGCTATAATCAGCTTCTTTTCCTGCACATAGAACTTGCTGATTACACTCCGTGCTTCCTGCCTTGAGTCCCCTCCTGCCTTCCCTCTACTACTTCATGTCTATTGCCTTCTTGAACAGCTCTCCTGTAACTGTCAGCTGATTTTAAGGTAACACTTTATTTTTCATACCTTTCAGAGAGTTTATTTGAATATGTTGGTTATGTACACTGTGATTATCTTGTGTAATTTGTCTATCTTTTGTCCCTCCAAACAAAATATAAATTTATAGAGGATACAGATTATCTCTTAACTTTTCAACCCTCAATATTTAACATAAAGTCCAGTGTTGAGCTGTACCCAGGGAAGTCTATAGCACATTTAACTAGGAAGGCACTGAGTGGACCTTTGGAAGTTTGGGTGGAGTTTACACTTACCTTGCCTGTGCACTTAGCATTCATGGAAAACTTAGGTCTTCTGAAGAATTGTGTTCACTATATATGTGTGTTTGGCCAGCAGAACAAATATAACTTGAATGTAAATTACTTTCATTGAATTTGGCATCCTTTCTTAGTAGCTCTATTAACTGGATGCCTGTTGACAAAGTAGAGGGTATAAATGAAAGTTTCAAATCTTGAGGAATAGATAATTCAGTTATAGCAGTTTGTGAACATATATCCTTTAGATGGACAAATAACATTCAGTGTTTTGTTACTATTATTCTTGTTTCTTTTTTAAAATGTGGGCAAATTTTGTGAAGTTTTTAACTGTCCTGTAATAAATAGAATATTTCTTTTTGTCTGAAGATCTTAGTTCGAAGAAGCAGCAGCCCCGCTGAACTGGATTTGAAGGATGACTTGCAATTGACACAAGGAAAGTGTAGAGAAAGACAGAAGAGTAAGTAGTGGAAATGTTCTGTGTATACCTAACTACAGAGTTGCTGTGTTTCTCTTTTTTCTTTTGTAACTCAAGTGATTATTTTATCAAATGGAGAAAGACACAGTTGCGAAATGGAATACATTTTTACCTTGAACACAGGATTGATATAAAGTTAATCTGTTAATCAAGTAGTTCTAATCAGTTGCCTATACCAGAGAGGCCTGTCTTTCTATCCCTGGGCCTTTTTCTAGGTGAGAAAAACAGGAGGGGCTGAAGGTTTAGGGGAGCAAACAGAGGTAGATGGAAAAATTTTCTTCCACAGAAAGTCCCCTCCCCATCAGAGTACAAAGCTTCAGAAGCACATTGAAATCAGTGGCATAAGCGCTTTAAGATAATTTAGAATCCTAAGATGGGTTACTGTAACCTATAAAGTATGTGGATACTCATGCCACTTTTCTTCTCATAGTAACATAGTAAAACAACTCCTGTGTCCAAGGTGGCCTTTAATTGGGTGCAGATGCTTTCTTCCCATTTTCTACTTTCTCTCTGTTGGCTTAGAGTTCTATGAAAGATGAAATTTGAGACCTAACAGATTAGTCTCCTAAGACAGCTTTAAGTTCTTTGCCAATGAATAGGAATTTTCTTTGCAATTGTATGAACACATAAAATTGTTATTAGATACATTTCAAGCAGCAGAACTGACTATATAGCTTATCATAATTATATTATGATAAATTAAAATGTTTAGTATCTAAAGGAGAGAATTGTAGATAATCAGTTGTGAGGAATACCTCATCCCCAAATGACCCTAGATGATTTACCCTGGCTCTAAATGTATATATATAAGGTTTGAAAAGAATTTCCCTTGAGTAGTATATCCTAGAGCTCATAATGCCTGTTAATGCCCTGTATTGGGAAGATTTAACTTGCTCACCAAGAATCCCACATAGATACCACCTGATCCCCAACCAAGTTCTGTGGATTTTACCCTTGAATAATCCCTGTTGTATCAAATGTCCAAATGTTTAGTGGTATGCATACAGGTCATTTAGCTAGCTATTGCCTCAAACTGTGCTGCTTCTCTTATGTCAGGTGAAAGTACCAGTAGTGATATGGCTCTGGGCTGTAACAATGAAGCAGAGCTGTCTATGAGCCCATGGCAGACATGTGAAGAGGATCCAGAACTGAACACTCCCACAGATGGGGCTGACTCTGATGCCCGCCATTGGTTACAACTAAGTCCAACTGATGCTTCAAACTTAACAGGTATGCTTGAAAAGAGGCACCACTGTAAGATTGGGCTATCCCCCAGTTTCCAAGTTGGAAGAACTCTAAGGATTCCTTTATACAATGATCATGGCAGAGCTACTTCCAATTAAATTGGAGTAGTAGCTCCAACCACCTGTCCATATTCAGTCATAAAATTCTTAGAGTCCTGTATAGAGGAATTCTAAAACAGTGGCCAGGTAGGGGAAGAAGCCCATCACATTAATGAAAACTGGGAAGAAGTTGCCTGGCATGATCAGATTTCTCTACTCTGGAAACAGAACAATGATTTTTTTTTCAACTTACATTTATCATGAATCCAAATGAAGGGATAAGGGTAGCTTGTTGATTAGTATTTTAAAATTTTTTATAAGGTATTTGAAAAATGTAAGTTGTGATGTATATGTGGGTTATGAACTACAATAATAAAATGAAAACCGGTGCCCTACTACCCAAATTAAGAACTGGAACAACACTCAGAAAAATGAGGTTCTGAGTGTCCTTCTCAAGCCCCTAGCCTTCTCTTGGCAGCCTTAGACCCTAGCCCAAGTTTGGCATTATAATAATTCCCTTCATTTTAGTTTACCATGTATATCTTTATTTTCAAGTAACACATCATTTTGTTTTGTTTTGCCATACTCTTTTTTTTTTCTACAACTTTTTTCTTCAGTATTATGTTTCTAAGATTCCTGCATGGAAACTTTCTGAGTTTACATTTAGGTTCTGCCAAGAAGTTATTGGGTGGCTTTGAACTAGTTATTGAGCCTCTGTCCTTCAATTTTTTTTGTCTGTAAAAATAGCAATAGTTTCAACTTCATAGAATTATTGGAGGAATAAGTTAGGTATGCAGGATAGTGGAAGCTCTGTGTAGTCTTAGCTATTCATAATTCGAGTTTGAATGTGCACCAGTGCGTTAACCCTGTATGAACCTGGATAAGTAAACTTCACAAAGACCAAGGAGATGAGTTTTTGTTTTGCTTTGTTTGATAAGTGTCAACAGAGATGTATGTTCTAAGGAATTCATTATGTGAGTTGTTTTTGTTTTGTTTTACTTGTTCTTGTGTTACTGGGATTTGAACTCATGGTCTTAATCTTCCTCAGCTTTGGTTGGTCAGCTGCTGACCTACCACTTGAGCCTTCAGCTCTGCTTTTTTGCTGTTTATTTTGGAGGTGGGAGACTAGTGAACTTTTCTGTCTAAGCTGGCCTTGAATCACAGTCGTTAATATTTTAGCCTCCTAAGGAGCAAGGATGATCCACTAACACTTGACAATGTGTGACATTTTGACAAGAGCCAAGTCTTTCCTGGTGTAGCACATTCATACTTACATCTTACATGTGTACTTACATCTTGCATAAAACAACAAACTCAAAAGTACATTAAGTTTAAAAATGTTATTAAAATTCTAAAATTAGCTGAGCATGGTGATGCATACTTGCAATCCCAGGTGTTCCAGAAGTAGAAGCAAGAGGATTGGAAGTTGAGGCCAGCTATGCAAAGGTAATGAGATGCTATCTCAAAAAGAGAAAAATAACAAAAATAACAAAAGGGCTAAAGGCAAAAATTACATTATAGAGCACAAGTACAAGGCTCTAGGTTCAATCCTTCCCATACCACATGGGGGAGAAAATCCCTCAATTATTTATAAAGGCTTTTAAAATCAAACAAACTTTACTTTTCACTGTTATCAAAGTCTCTTACATGTTCTGAAATTCTTGTTAGAATAACATTAAAATGTGACAAAATTAACAGATAAAATGGTGTTAAATGTAGAACAGGTAATGATGTTGCGTAAAAATACTATAAGCATACAGGATTTAGTAGTTCACAAATAATTTGGATGTACCTTCTTTTATTCTGTTTAATAAGTAGGCCTACTCTTAACATTTCTGTTTTAGACATGAAGAGCTTAAGATCCAGAAAAGTCATGTTATCCCACTAGAACATAAGTTGTGTAGTTTAAACTGGTTTCTTGCTATCTGTGTTTACTCCTTTTAATTACATTTTGGTTATAATTACAATTGTAAAGCCCTTTGACATAGTTGACTATTGATACATTTGTGAAACAAGTATCTTCTTTAGGTCTAGTATACAGATTATCCAAGAGAAATTTATCATCATAGTAGTAAGGATCCAATACTGAATCTTCATCGTTTGATGTGCTTAAACATGAATCAGGTTTAATTATTTTTATTGAGGGAAAGAAAATTGGACAATTACTTCTGTTGTGTTTGAGAAAGATTACTTTTGATCTCATTTCAGAGTATGTATTGGATGGCTCAGTTGAATAAACTGTATGAGGTAATTCTGTATGGTATACTCTGTGTGGTGATTAACTCTTCTAAATACTTCTTTGAAATACTAAAATAGAGAATCAGTACACTTATTCAATAGTTCAGCTTGTTATCCGTGGAAAGGACAAACTGTAATGTGATAAGACTTTAGGATTATCACACTTCCTGAATTTAACTTTCTGTTCTAAAGAGAACAATTTCTTTATAAGTGAGTACGATAAAAGTCATGTTAGCCTCATTTTTAGGACATACAAAAAAATCACCTTGAATGAGACTGAAGTATAGCTCAGTGATAGAGCCTAGCAAGTTTTAAATTTGAAAATATGCACACACAAAAATCAAACTGTCCAATGGGATTGCATAAAGTTGCAGAGCTTCTGCAGGGCAAATGACATAGCTAGCAAGATCAATAGAAAGCCCACAGATTGGGAGAAGATCTTTACTAGCCA